TATATATATCGAATTTTAATGAACAGGAATCTGTGAGTGTTAAAAAAGTTAACCTAACCGGGATTCAAACCCGGGACACTTGCTGCTGTCTTTGCAGATTCCTTAATAACCAATTTGGCCATTGAGGTTTCATTGGGAATTTAAATTTGATAAAGCAGCTAATTTTCCACACTCCTCTATTCATGCGTAGTCGAACACCACTAGTTCTTATTCTACTGCAAATATCACACTCCATTGAAAAGGCGTAGTTGACCAACACTAGTTCTTATTTCATGGCTATTGTCTAGTTTTTTTTAAGCCGCTGACGTCATGTTGTGGAGGCCAAAACAAAACTTTTGAACCGAAGACGCGACTTGACGATCTTTAACAACGCGCCATAACTCGCACTTTTGTAAACTGACCAAAAAAGTGCGTTTAGTTATTAGAGGATGTGAAAAAGAATCATTTCATAGAATTAAAATTTATTATTAAAAAGTAATGCAAGAATCGTTATTTTTTAAGAATATTTTTCAACAAATGAAAAAAAAATTATAAACAATAAAAATAAAAAAAAACACTAGATTTACTATGTTTGTTTGTACAACAGAACATAGGGGTTTTCCTCATTGCTATGAGAAATGAAGTTAAAATTGCAACAAAAAAAAAAGTCGTTAAAAAGTATATGAAGTAAATTATAAGTAACTGTAAACAAAAACTAATGTAAGCAACGTCATACTCAATACATTGTATTATTATTCTATACTCCAGTAGAATTACAGTTTTTTAACCTGGTTGGCATCAAAAGTTTTTGATCACGCAATAAAACATTTTGTACGTAATTATGTGGTGTAGTTCAACATTTACATTGAAATTAGTGGTGTTTATTTGGGTATATATATCCATTTTCCCTCTCCCCCCCACACACACACACAAAAGTAAACAAACGTCTCCCTCGTCGAATAAACGCCCTTCAAAACCCCTTGTTGAACAATAAACGTCTCGGGCGTTTATTAGAATAAATATGGTATTATAATACACGATACCCTTTTATATAAATTGATGACCAGAGAGGTCGCATAGTAGGATTCTGAAGTTTTAAAAATGCAATCAGTGACATAAATTGGGGTATCTTCACATTCATGATAAAAAAAAAAGTAGTCTACTGCAAATTTAATTAGTTCTTTCCATGGTTTTGTTAATAAAGTTTACCTGTTATTTTATATTGATCAGGAGATATCCAATTAGTGTAATTTAGTATAATATAGGCCTATATTATTATGAATATCAAGATCATCGTAAAACATTGATAGGCCTATAGATACTTAAGTTCAGGAAGCTTGAAGTAAATGATTTTCATCTTCCACTGCTACCCTGGCTTTAATAATAATAATAATAATAATAATAATAATAATAATAATAATAATATGATAATAAATAAAATAATAAATGAATAATGATTATGGCACCATAGCGTTGTCGTACGCCCTCTATAGTACTGTCAAATTTCAGCTGGTTTCCTTGGTTGAAAGGGTTGTGAAAGTTTGGATTAATCTTGGTATCTACAGTATTCAATGGTTTATATTTTTTATGTTACTTATCAAAATTGATTATTTGATCATTTACAAATTAAATTTTATCCAAGTTTGGTATGTGGATTTCGCAAACGAGAAAGGCACTGGCCTTTCATACCTACTCTATTGTAATGTAGTATTAAGGTTCAATGGTATTAACTTGCATAACCATGGAATCGATACCCTTCACCTGATAAATGCCTTAAATTGGTTTGACATTTTTAATGGTCAAATTCGAGTATACAGATAATCTAATAATATAACTGGACATTGTATAACTTTACCCTAGTCAGTTGGACTTGGCCTTTTTCTCACACTATGAATCTATGATTGTCAGTTTTGAAGCTCTGAAGTTTGTGATACATTTTAATTAGCAGTTTTTTGGTAAACAAGTTACTAAATCATAGAGAAAGAATTTCTCTATGATCCAATCAGAAACTTTTAAAATATGGGGTGACTTACTTGAGACACACCCCCATTACCTAAAGTATAATAGGCAAACACCCCATATCACTGAGTCAGTAGTCAGTAGTCAATAGTCAGTAGTTAGATTCAATTTAGTAGTTAGGAGTACACAGAAGAAAAGTACAGAGCCGAGCTGGCTCCACTCAAAAAGGGTTCTCTAACATCTGAAATCTGGAGTTTAGCTGATTGTAACCAACGTACAGTTTGTGTGAATAAAAGTTTGCAGTGTACTAAAAGGAACTGTGATATACTACGCAGTAAAAGCCACCCAATTAACCGATTTAACATGGAAGACGCACTAAACGATACCCGAATTGCGGTTAAGCAGATTGTTTGTCCTTTCTGAATGACATGACTCTTGGAACTGAATTAAAATTTTTCTCAAATACCGCAACTAACTAACAACAAGAATTGAAACCCATGAGAAGTAAAACAAAACAACAGGCATCCACATTACAGAAAGTGAATTG